GGAGACGGGGGGATTGAGATTGTTTGTTGTTTCATCTTTACTGTACTTTTATTTTATTTTATTAAATTGTGAATAAAGCCAAGCAGTGAGTTTTGAATGGACTTTTATCAAACATGATAGAATTTTATTCTCTTACTCAAATAGGATTTCGAAAGTAAAGCCAGGTCCACTCTGAGCCAGAACAACAAATATCCAAGAAATAACTAACGATTTTATATATATATATATATCATATAGTTAAGATATGAAATCATTCCCTCTGTGTTTAAGAAATATCGTTAATCTCAGTCGGGGCAAATTTATAAACCATGATCAATGTCTTTTCCACAGCAGTGAATTAAATTTTTATCAATGAAGTGGACGAAGCCGTCCAACTATTTATTTTTTTTAAATTAATGTTGGGAGACATGAGGCCCCATCAACTTTAATAGATATATATTCAACATAATCTAAAATATTTTGCCGTGATTGTCATAAAATCATTTAGTAGAACTTTAGGTGAAAGGTGAGCAGAGGATGAGAAGCTGTGAAATCACCTCATAAAGATTCAGATTCACGATGAAAATTTCATTTAAATAAAAAAAAAAGTCACTTCATCTGTGAAATGAAATGATACGTTTGTGGAACATGTGACTTCATTCACCACAGACTTTAGAAACTACAGACGGTTTCCACTTCCTCTTCAACCCGCCAGACAAGCTGCAGCTTCAGGGAAGGAGGGAGGAAGGAGGGAGGAGGGGGGGGGGGCACTAAACAGGTGTTTCCATCAATTGTTTGTGTCAGACAGCGGCTGACAGGGGGCGTCCCTCACTACCAGCTCCTGCTCGTTCCAACAGCGTGCAGGCAGATGGTGCTCCACGGAGCTGTGAGTTTAATAAACCCATGCATGAACACAATCACACATGAACACACACTCACACACACACTCACTCACACACACAGCCATGCTCTTTTGCCCTTCAGCTCCAGGAGAGCTCAGCTCTGGGAGAGCCGTAGTCCCGGCGCCGCCTCAACACGTCGTCGGTCGCCAGAGAAGCGTGGCCTCCGCAGGTGAGTGACAACGACTTAATGAGTATTTCCTGAGTCTCAACTCAATTATAAACTCCCCGGCAGAACGAGTCTGAGAAAAGGCTGTTCACCGTTTACCAGGAGCTGGCGTTGGAGCGATAGGGACTTTTCATTTCTGCCGTCAGAGCAGGTCCACATGAATGGTGTTAATTGCGATTTTTTTTTTCCCCGACACCTGGATGTGTTGTATGGAATTTGCAGTAGAAGAAGTCACTCTGACATTCTGTCGGTGAGAGACGCAAAACTAACAAAGTTAAAGGTCTATTAGAGGGGACACTTATGTGCTACGTTTATCTATAGAGAAAAAAAGGATAATGAATGGATGGATGGATGATGGATGGATGGATGGATGCGTTGACAATGGATGGATGGATGGATGGATGGATGGATGGATGGATGCGTTAACAATGTTAACAAGAATAATTTATGTTGTCATCTGCATAGAAAATAACCTCACCTTTATTGACTTCTAAAGAGCTCACCATTGTTAGCTAGCATACGTTAGCTGCTCGCTAAGAGATCAGAAGCACTGGTACACGTATTGGTATACAAGAAGACCACACAGTGCATCATGGGAGTTCTCCCAGCGGCCTAGGCATGACAGATAGATGGATAGACAGTACAACCACGGTTTAGAACAGAATCTGTTCCATTCGATCAACTAAACCGAACCTTCATTTTACTAACGTCTAAATCTCCATTTTCCCAAATGGCCCAGATTCTGGTCCACGTTTTTGTATTTCATCCAAATGCAGTTTTGGACAAATCCTCAGCCAATCAGAGCCACTGACGACTGATGTCACCGTGGAACGCGTCCCACTCTACTGCAGTTTTTCTTCTCAGTCCCTGGGATCATTTCCTTTGTAATACATCAGAGAGTGGAGAAAAAAAAGAACTCCAGAGCCACAAGTGGTTTTACTGAGAGATTGTGTTTCTGAAAGGAGACGTGAATGCGAACAAAGAGCTAATGAAGTCCAACGTGCGCGGCGCCCTTGTTTCAGAAACATGATTAGCCAGTGACATTTCAGGGCTGTCATTTTCTGTCTTAAAAGGATTTCATCAAAGCCACTAAAGAGAGGGCTGAGCCCTGGCACGAAGTACAGAGAGAGAGAGACAGAGAGAGGGAGTGAGAGGGAGCAGCGTGACACCTGAGTCACGTCTCTGCTGTGATATTATAATCAGATTGACAGAAGGTTCTTTGTTCTGGTCCGGCCCGGCTCTGCTCTAGTATTTTACCCTCGACGCTGAAACCGCTGGCCTTTGTGCAGGACCTTTTCAACGTTTCCAGAAAATAGAAAGAAATGAGAACTTATGAGAAGTCACAAGTGACAGCGTCTGAATGGGGTCGGACTCCAAGAACCGTGCACTTAGCTGAGGTTCTGATGGTTCCTCATGAGGCACAGACTTTGACCTGAGAGCGGAGCTTCAGCTGCGCTTTATGTCGTGACTTTTCCTTTAATTCTTTACAGAAAAAAAAGACACATCTATTCACTGGAAACCAAAGTAAGGGGCGTGGAACTATTGCAAGGGCAGAACACCGGGGCAAAAGTAAAACTTAATTTCAATATTTTGTTTATTTACCGACACATTCAGGTAAAACTGCACTGATTTGTAATTTTATTTTCTTGGTTCAATGAGAAAAACACGTATCGTAGAAATTAAAGAAGTGTTTTTAACGAAGTTCAGTGAAAGGTTGAGGCAAAAGCTGCGGGGGCCACATCAGCGATACTGGTTGTAAATGGAAGACTGTACAGATCAGGGGTCTCCAACCCCCGGTTCGCGGACCATTACAAGTCCATAGGTCATTTGGTAACATGTTTCCGCAACTGTGTAATAAAAAAAATTTAATTTCTCAGGTTAAAAAACTCTGCTGCATGGACTTTACTAAATGTTTTTTAAGCTCCCGCTGGCCAAACAAAACACCTGGGCGGGCCACATTTGGCCCCCGGGCCTTGAGTTTGACACATATATCGTAGAGGAAAAAGTTTGGGAAACACTTTTCTAAGTTGTTGTTGTTCAAAAACTGAAGTAAAAACCCTTTATATTCCAGCCTATTTTATTGGACAGGAAAAACACACATCATTTCCAAGGTACCGTGACGGTGCCGTGTACGAGCGGTCGCACGCAGAAGTCCTCGTGACAACAAGGTTCAGCCGGACTTCCTGTGTCCAAATCCCCGGGCCTGACCACTGTCCTGTTTCAAAGGCTCCTTATCTGTCGGCCGCTGAGTAATGAAGCCTCTAATGGATTCCATTAACAGATGATGATGGACTTTTAAATATAAGTACCAAGGTTTTAACTCAGTTTAATAGCCAACAGTGCAGGGCCAGGACAAGCTGTCCGCTCCACGAGTGGAATCGATTGTGAGTGCACTCACTCTCATTTTAGTTACGCGC